ACAGCTAATTCTCTGCCAGTAACTATAATAAAAGTCTTTAAGACGTGCGTTCATGAGAAGAAATAGATAATAAAAAAAATGAAATCTGAAAACTTGAGATTACAGTCTAGCACCTCGAGGAATTTATTTAAGGAGAACGAAGTTAAAAAAAAAAATATAAACTTAAAGAATATAAGAATAATATACTTAAAAAGAAATTATGGTCTTATCCTGGCATGTAGGTTTTACTTTAAATACCTGTAATTTTAACTTAGGCCGTAACAATAGGCTTGAATTAGCTTCCTACGTATTAAGGATCATAAAGCGTAAAATTTTACTTTAAAACAATCTGTTTTAAAACGCAAAGGTATAGTTTGGTTTGGTTTGGTTTATTGAAATTACGCCAAAGCACACTAGAGTTATCTAAGGGAAGGCATGCCTTCGTTGAGGACTTTCGAAGGGAAACTGGCTCGTATGTACGTTACACATGGGGAAAACCAGGAAAACGCCCATGCAGCCAGCCCGTTCGCGGGATTCGAACCTCCGACCGAACTAGCAGTGCAAAGCTATAGTAGAAAAAAAGATTTGCTATGATATTATTTGAACATAAATTAACTCCACAAGGTGAAATGTGAGCTTATTCCATTTCAAATGTAACTGAACATTCATTGAATTCGTTGTGTATTAATGAATACAGTACACTGCGGAAAACTGAACTACCTTAGGAAAATTTATGTTATCTTTGGTAATAATGGTACAAATTTATCCTCCTGAAATTTTCTTGGTTCGCAAAAGCTTAAGACACATTTTTAAACATATTTTTTATGAAATGTGTTTAAATTTGTACGTCTGCTTACAGAAATTTTAAGAAACACAAAAAGCGTCGGCTTGCTCACAAGACTTGCAAAAAGTATATCTTTCGAATAATAGTACTTTTTGTTTTGTTAAAGGATCAAATCTGCGAACTGAAAACAATAGATATCTCAGAGTTTTCCTTAGAAGTGTTTAAAAAACATTATATACTTCAGCGGAAGAATAATCTAATTCTCTAATTTCTAATTCTCTCTCGCTCTCACGCGCGCTTTGGATTAATCTTTTATTTTTGCATGATTTTTACTTCCTTGTACGAAGTAAAGAACGTATTGTAATCATGAAAAATTTGGGGTACCATATTTCATCGAAAATATCCATTTTGACTGCTATCGAATGTAATTTAAGGATGTTTCTGCGTGATATCTATACGTAAGGATAGGATAAAGGCATCTTTTTCCCCAAATGAATTATAAAACTGATTTAAAATGAATTCAGATGAGATTTTTTTCGTGACGTCTGTACGTACGTGCATACGTATGAATGTAGCTCGCAAAAACGAATAGCCTCAAAACGCTGAAATTTGTATGCTGGACTACTATAACATTTTGATTCGCTCCTCACTTTTTGGTTTCAATCGGCCGCCCCAAAAGTATATGAATATATGTATTTATATGTCCACTCTATTATTTGGCTCAGTGAGCTCAGTTTCTTCATTCTTATATGATTGTAAATTGTGTATTTTTTAATTTAAAAATGATTGAACTATGTTGTTCTTATCTTCCGGTTAAGATTTTTACGCCTTTAGTTAATCTGCATGTTGTAGTTGTAAAATTATCAACAATTTAAAAAAATTAAAGTTAATTTATCAACAATTCAATTACAAGTTGTTTAAGTGCGGCTAAGCCTAATTTTTTTATCACAGCAAGTTGTTTAAGCCTAATGTTTTTTACCACAGCAAGTTGTTTAAGCCTAACTTTTTTAACACAGCAGCCATATTTGTTTACATTTGTAACTTAGCAGGATAGTAGATTTGGTGCCAATCTATAGAAAATAAGCTTCGCAACAGCAAAGTAACGTCTTCTTCTATTATTGCGAATTAAATTATGCTCAATCCATTCTGGAATTATCATTTAAGTTATTAAACTATCTCATATATTAACTCAGCATAGCGTCCGCAACAAATTAAGTCAGTTTCTACGCCTTCAGTGTCTTTTTGCCGAGTGAGACCGAAAATAAACTTTCAGTTTTGTAAATCAAAAAATCTGCCTTCTTGCCCGCTGGCCGAATTGCTTGTTTTTGCGTAGAAACTGCAATTTTAATTATAATTTTTTTTTATTGTTTTAACTGCGTTTGGTGTTTTATATTTGTCTACATCTTTCAGCTTTTAATATAGATATTTTGAATTTTTATGCATTTTTGCCGTGTCGCGAAGTGAGAACTGAATTAATTGAATAAGAAATATATGTCTAATGAAATTCGAGAAAATAAGTTTAAACGAAATGCAGGAAAAAATGAGTATAATTTAATTTTCCGTACAAGGAAGTCATGTGATGTACACATGAGATTTTTTCTTTTTACTTTTGGTACTTGTATCAGCTCTTAAATTTTACTAAGTCTTGAGAAACAGTTTTAGGTCTTTTTGTTTTAATTTCTCTCAGATTATGCCCAGAATACAAAATGGAGCTAGGGGTAATCCCCGTGATGTAAGAACTTTTATTACCTTCTAGACCAGCGGTCGCCAACCGGTAGTCCGTGATAACCTTTCGCTGGTTCGCAGAAAAATTTGGACATTATTTACATTTTTATGGAGATTCAGTTAATGACGAGTAACAAAATCTGTTATGGAATATGGATTATACTTTTTTTTAACTTTAGCTTCTACTTTTAGCGAAGTTCCTTCTGAATTTAGCGACCTTTTAAGTTGTATCTAGCGACATTTGAAAGTGAGAGTTGGCATCCATGGATATGCTACTGTTATCAATATAAGCTCGAACTGGAATTCTCTTTCCTTTTGAATTACAAACATGCTATTGTAGTCGTTAATAACAGTTTATTCCATGTCAATAGGCAACTTGATGGATTTTTGTGGATGGAACTTGATGGAATTATAAACAAGCATGCAGATGGTTCATCCGCATGCTTGTTTATAATTGCATCACTGGAAGTTTCCGTTTTTGTTTTGTCTAACTGTTGATTAGTGGCGCCATTGCTGAGTAAGAGATAATTATTATGTTTACAATAATTAAAAATTGGGAGCGTAACACTATCAGTTTATTGATATTGCTTTGCGTTTACCGATTTGTTCTTGCTTTCCCTGAAGTTCCTTAGTGATAAGGAAATATGAAGCTTTTCTTTCTTCTCACATTTCCTTAGTGTGAAGTTTTAATAAGATTTTTGTACTTTTCACATAATTTTTCAATGTGAACGAAATATGTGTAGTTTGCTAATTATTATTGTATAAATGTATTTACCTTTTTTTAAATTCATATTAGTAGTTTTCGCCAAATATAAAATTATACATGTAGTGGTCCGTGAAGTTCTAAGGGTTTGACGACCGCTGTTCTAGACTACAGCACCACTTATTTTTATTAGCGTATTAAAATGATCCATTTGAAAACAACATGTTCACTTCGTAATAGTACTTTGGGACTTTTCGATATACAACTTTTTATAATCAGAAAAGAAGCACAGAACCAAACATCTTATGTAAATTTTACAAAATTCAACATTATATTAACTAGGTTTCGTAGAGTAATCCTATAAATTTCTCGAGGAAATTTATGGGAGGTATCTTCTTCAAAGAGCAAAAATATGCTGCCAAAACGTTTTAGTTCTTCGGAAAGATAGCCTTCATGCCTGACATTCTTAAACTACCTCTTAAAGTTTAATTTTTCCAAATTTTAAATTTCAGACAGATGTAATCCCTTTCCACAAATACTCAAGCTCTGAAAATTGTACTTTTTATTATTGATTTGTAAACATGAAAACTTTCAAATTAATCATAACAATTATAAAAAGAATTCGTATATTCCCGGGTGCTAAATTGCGCAGAAGTTTGAACAGCTATTTTTTTAAAGTGCTATCACTAAGTTAGTGATAACAAAGGCTAAATTTTAAGTAAAGAGCTTCGTTACATAGGCATTGGCTGTAGTCCCCCCTTTTTTTGAACCTTGCGCTTTTTTTTCGGGGGGGGGGGACTGAAATGAGATCAGAATGTGTTCCACAGCTCTAACTTCTTATAAAATTTGGAAAATACCAACTTAAAAATGCCCCAAACTTTTATCGCGAATTAGGAATTTATTTTAAGGTTTCTTTTAAATATTACATTAAGAGTTGAAACATCAGATTGGAACTTTTATCATATAAAATGACTGAAAAAATAAAAATCTTCATCCTCTCGTTGTGTGAATCAGATTGTTGGAAACAACAAATGTGCCGATTTATCCAACGTGGCTAATCTGATTTTTCTCACAGGTTTAATTTAATCATTGAGTGATTATAGGTTCCTTACAAGTTTTGTGGTGAAAGTTGTTTGTGCCAAAGGGTTGTCGGTTCTGACGAGTGATCCATCACGGTTATCACGTGATGCCATTCTCAAGGAGTGAACGCAACTAGAGACAGTACAATCTTTCTGAGTCATCGTTCTTTGGAGGTAGATAATTTTTGCATCTTGCCAACATTTCCATGGTGGAATAAAAGAGAAAAATCTTTCTTAGAAACAGGACTAAAACCCGAAAGGTGAATTTCGTAATCGTTTTTAGGCAATGACATGCAGTCTGAGGGCAAGGCACTATTTCTGTCTTTAATGCATTGAACTTACACCTGCGTCACAAAATCTACTTCTTATTCTGCTCGAAAGAAAACGCAAATATTTCATAAACAATGCTATAAATATTCAGAGTTATTATTTGTTTAATTCTGGAACCTTTTGTCAGTCTGCATACAATTTGGAACTACTAAAGTTTTGTTAGGACATTGGCAAACGTCCTCTAGAGAGTAATTCTCAAATGTTTAATTTAAATGACACCAGTATTTTTAAGATTGCCTAACGATAATATTTCTGTAGGTAGCCGTGTATTAACCTCAGTTATAAATTTTAAATATAAAAATCCAACAGTTACCACATTATGAAGATATTAAAATTTATAAATTATAAAATAATGTAGATTTGCAATTTAATTGGGATTTTAACCAAATTCTGGTGGCAGGTACTACAGATCTTTTCATCCGTGGAACAATGTTTGGTACACCAGGATACCTGAGCGACAAGGCTCTACCCCTTGTAGAACAGTTTAAGAATTGCGAATAGTATGATGAAATAACCTAAAAGATATCTAAGGTAATTTTTTTTATAATAAAGTTTTTAAAGTGAATAATTAATTATTTAGAATTCATATTTAAGCCAGAAATTAGGGAACGTTAATTGAAGTATCAAGCGATGTCAAATGAATGCAGGCCAAAAGTTGTCGAGCTAGTGAGCGTGTGGATAAAGGCAAGGTTAAGGCGAACACTGGTAATTTGAATCCGATAAGTAAGATATAAATACTATGAACATAAGACTAAAGAGAATGCGTAGCAGATACAATAGGAGAAGATTAACATAAAACGTAAAGGCATTACAATAAATGTTACATAATATATACATTTAGTTAGGCTATGGGCCTGCCTATATTTGCTAGGTCATTATAGTCATAATTGCAAATCTTAATGGCCGGGTTGTTAATTGTTTTTTGTCTTTCATGAAAGCTTTTAGCAAGTTTATAATAGTGTGAGCGTAGTTGCTCCATACCCAGTTCTTCATAAATTCTGTTGTTGCAGATATACCACTCCGCTTTAACTATTTGCCTAAGGACAGAGTTTTGGCAAGTCTGTAATTTTTTCCTATTACATTTTTCGGTATAGGTCCAAACTGGACTAGCATTACATAGTAATGGACAGAGAACGGACTTATAAATGAGTAACTTGTTGTCAATTGATAAAACACTGTTTCGAGCAATTAAGGGCTATAGTTTAGCTTTACAAACTCGAAACGTTTGGATAATAGATGTAACGTGTGGGGCCCATGTTAGAGTTTTGTTGAGGATCACCCAAAAATAAGGGACCTGCTTGGCCCAGGGTTCAGATCACTGAAGATGAGAATTTTCTTGAATTTGCTTTTTTTTGGTGAACATAATGGTCAGTGTTTTATCCACGCTGACTTGAATTTTCCATTTTGTAAGCTAAGTCTCTAATATATGGATGTAGTTTTGTAATCGTTGAAAGACTATACCTGCGAATGCACTTTGTGCTAGGATCGCAGTGTCGTCTATACTACAGATCTTGTTAAACTAAAAAGCGGTGAACATCAGAAATACTGCTTAATATCACTATCTTGTTAGACGCATTATATGATGTTAAAGCGCTCACCTCTTCTCAGGAGAGGGGAGTAATATGAGTAGAATAAGATGATGAGAGATAACTCTAAAGTTTCAGACACATTTTCAGCGTTTAAAAAATATCACAGATTAAAAGTATGTAACAATATATATCTAAAATTGAGCATACATATTACGTTAATATTATATCATTTAAGCCACAACTGATAGGTTCTGTTCGTTAACCCTTTCCGGCACACTACCTTTTAAAGTTAGAGTTACGATTAAAAAAAAAAAAAAAAAAAAAAAAAAGGTAGGCAGTCTAATTAGGCCTAGAGGAGTACACAAGTAAAATTTTGTGAAGTTAGCGCTTATCGTTTAATTCTGCGAGTGTGCCCACAGTGGGCACACTGATTGAATAGAGCTTCGAAAAGAGTGCGAAAACGAATATTGCTGTCAATGAACTGACCGATGAGATGCGGAGAAACAAAGAATACAGACTCTCAGTTGTCCTAGATTATCGGTGAGTCCAGTCTGGGCACACCCAGGATTCGCCGTTTGATTTTAGGCAAGATTTCAAGGTAAAAATTTATATATAGAATAAGGAGATTAGAATACAGCCAAAAACATAACATAGAAATTTCGTTTCAAACAATTCCTTTTATACCCTAAAAAAAAAAATCTGGAAGATTTCTTTGAAAAATGAGGGTCTTAAAAAACTAAGCATGGCTAAAACATATGGACTGGTTTGTGTTGAGCTTCCATCTACTATAAATAAAGAAGGTTCAGATTAACCTATAGTAACCTATAAATCCTTTTTCATTCAATTTTTCTGTGCGTACAGAAGGAAATTTTTAGGTGTGTCCAGAACGGACACACTGTGCCGTAAAGGGTTAATTCATTAGTATTTGAAAGACGTGAAGAAAACAGTAATATGTAGTTTAAAAATAGGAAGGTTTTCTTCAATCTGCGTTACATAAGTCATCATGCTTTACCTTATTGTTTTTCTCTCCCTTAAAAGTACCTTTTATTTTCAAAATTATAGTCATCCAACTTGAGACCTGGTTGTTAAGACTGCTGAATGCTAAGATTTCGACCTGTATCGGCAAGATAGTCATTTACCTGAATGTTAAATGGACATGCCTCTAATAACCTTATTTTTCCCTACGAAGCTTCACTCTCTTGAGGCCTTTCCTGTTCACATTATACAAGAGATACTACAATTTTCGATATAATTTCACTAAAATTATGTACATTCATACAAAATTGGTAATAATATTTTTCTTTTATGTTTAATCTGCCTTTAATCAACAAACTAAATTATTTAAAAGCAAAAGATGCATCTGATTGATTTAAGTAAAAATGCATTTAATTCATGATTAAAAACATTAAATATTTTTATGGTTAAAAAATTAAATATTTTTATATATTACATTGCATATTTTTCACTTTTTAGATTACAGAAGATATATAGCATTCCCAGGTTAGTCTAAATGTAGATTGATTTAATATCCTATAAAGTATTTCGTTATTCCACGTGGGCAATCTCCATCGATAATCAATACTGATTAACTGTATTAAACTCCAAAAAAGCCCTTTTGGCCGATTGTCAAAATCTGAACCTTTTCAGATTTATTGATTTTATTTATTTATTTATATTTTTTATTTTATTTTTCATAACGACTGGGTCTCTGAAAGTGGAATCAAATGAGCTTATTGGCTAAAATATGCAAAGAATCTATCAAATAGATTTATATTTTTGAAGCAGGCTGTATGCAAGTACAGAATAGTACAACTTTATCCTTGTATCTTTCAGAACATATTTTGGCTGCGTATTCTTGTGTAAAGTGCGCTAATTTTGTCTGAAATATTATGTCGCATTAAGAATACGTTCATTTGTTAATTGTTATTTTTGTGAATTAATGATGATTTTCTTTCTGGGATATATTTATTTTAAAGTTATTGTAGTGTAACTGGTGCTGTGCACGAAAATTATTTTCGTACCATTTCTTTGCAAAATCTGAATCGTTGCTTTATTTGTAATATAAATTTTGCCTATATGTTGTAAGAGGACATAAGATGTTTCACATTAAATGTATATAAACTGCCCTGAAAATAATTTTGTCTGCTAGAAATATGCAACATGCAAATATGAAATAGCACGAAAACCTTTTCGTATTTACTGATTTCTGTCACTGAATTGATGGATCCGGTGGCTTGTTAGCTGAATGTACTTAGAACACCATGGAAGATTCGATAATTCCTTGCAATCCTAAATACTTTGAAGCTACGTAACATTAAAACAAATGCTATGTGATAAGGCTACAGTCCGTACATGTAAAAGTAATATACGTGTACAATTTCCTCATATAGAAATGGGAAGAGCAGTGATCTTACTGCAAGACTTAAAGATGGCAGTAGTAAAAGTGATACGATAAGCTGAGTTAGCGAAGTTTGAATAGTAGGAGATACAAAAAATAGGCTTTAAGAGAGGAAAAATTCGAACATCGCACATACGTCTGCCACTAGCTGCGTATCGCCAGCAATTTTCTTACTTTCCATTCACTGTGTTACATAATAAGTAATGCAAAAGTAACATGGTGCCCTTTGCACACCAAGTTACTCAATTCTTAAATCCCACAGCATTATTTCCTACCGCATATATTCATTACACAATGGTACAGAGTAAGTGAATTGCGAAATCGGTGCTTCTCTCTGGTTTCAAAGATCACACCATAATGTGCAAGGTGTAAAACATTTGGAAAGGTAATATAACTTCGTGACATTCAGTCTTTGGATAGAAGCTAAAACCAAGTAGCAAAGATCATCTCAACAGATTCAGGAACCCTCGAACTTATGGAATGTTTTTGATCTTTATTTATTCCACTTATTTCAGGTATAACAATTGCTTTGCCAAAATATGTGCCCTTGTACATTCGTAACATTTCATCCATCCTTCTGAAAACAATGTAAGCTAATATCTTGCAAGAAATAAACAGATCGCCAGAAAAGAATTAAACAGTAAAATATCACTGCTATTAATTTTTTTATACGTCGTATTTCCAGTTTACCAGAATTTGAAGTTGAAAAGCGCTATTCTATTTATTTCATGCATTTAAAGTAACAACAGTGCTCCGACACATTATGCTAATTTATCCAGACAAATTACACGATCTTCCCTAGAAAGACTGCGTTTCTGGATGATTTTTCATAGAAATCTTGCTGTTCTTTAGAAATTATATATCGTAATTGCAAAACATTATTCTATACATATAATAGCCGTGAAAGCATTCATGAAGATATTCCATACCTTGAATCAAATCGGAAAGGGGAAATTTACCACCCGCTATTGGTCTGCAATTTTCTTCTATGTTTGACATAATTTCATGCATCTATCCATTTTTAGATCTCTCGTCTTATATTCGTAATAGGTTTATTATAGATACTAATATATTAAAAAATAAATGATGCTTCCTCTTTGTTTTTTGGATATTTTAAATGTGCCTTATTGTTCCTTTATCTTCACCACTAAAATCTTACCACTAATTTCAGCATTTTTAAAATCAACTAAAGACAGTATATTGTGAAATGTCATTGTTCCAATGTGAGTTCAGCTTATGCATAAAAAAGTTAATTTCATTATCTTTACATCATAAAACAGAATAGATCATAAACAGAACAGAATATTCGAGGAAATTTCCCCAAATCAGAGAAACAGAATATATTTTCCTATATTGTTCATTTCTAGAAAGTTCAGATGTTATCGAAACCTTCAAGGAAAAGGAAAATTCTAGGACAGTGGTGGCGAACCCTTTTGGGGCTGCGTACCATTTGTTTAAGATATTAAATTAAAATTATTCATAAATTACCTCAAAATGCTTAAGATCTGAAAACTGGAATATATTTAACAATGAAGGTATTGAAACTCACCGGTAGTATGCAATAAATTTGAATTCATTTAGTAAACATTAGCTGCTTCAACTTT